TAAGGATTTGTATGCAGAAGCACCCAAACCCGAGGCCATTCATCTCAAAAGGAAAGTAAGCTTTTGGAAACAACCGGCAGTGGATATATAGGCAAATCGTGCCTTACAATGACGAATGAGAAAGAAAAATGGAAGTTCGTTCTGTTTTTTTCTCCTCTTGGAGAAGTTGGGTTTTTAGGAAAGGTTCCGTCGCAAAGACAGCACGGCTCCCTTCTGAAAAGGGAGAAGTAAGCAGAAGGCTCTTCCGAGCAGCAAGCGCTCAAAACTGGAGCCTTCTTTCACTGCACCGAAATTCAGATTTACTGCAGGAAGTGTGTAAACACATCGGTTCCAATTCTTTCACCTTTCAGCCAATAACATGGGACGGCGACTCGGGTGCCATCCATTATACCTTGGACTGATGCAATATAGAGACTACAGACATCCAGAGATCTGAACGGGGAGGGGGGGGTGGAAGGATCTTTTCCAATCTTTTCAAAAAAGCAGAAGGAAGGAAAGGCATCCTTGGAACTTTCTTGGCCTGGATTGAGCGGATTAGATTCCTCACCTTCAACAGGAGGAAGAGTCCCCACCCTCTCTTTCTCTCACTCACTCACTCACTCACTCTCCCCCACCCCGTTAGTGAACCTTAAAGAAGATCACAGGAGCTTTTGGGCCCCTAGCAAATGCCTGCACTCGACTTTCTTCTTGGTAGTAAAAAAATGATCGCCCATCAGCCAGTGTATAAATAGCAAATAATTGCTAGTGAAAGGAATGGGTGATGCATTCTGAGAACTATTTTGGGTGCCTGAATGCAGGGGGAAGCTGTTAATCACATAGCAAGCAGCAAGATCCTGGGCTGGAAAGGTACTCCAGGTGTTTAGGGAAATGGAGGAGAAGGAGGAGAAGGAGAAGGAGAGAAGAAGAAGAAGAAGAAGAAGAAGAAGAAGAAGAAGAAGAAGAAGAAGAAGAAGAAGAAGAAGAAGAAGAAGAAGANCCAACAAGTCACATCCACAAAAATGGTAGTTAAAAAATTTGAATCCCACCACTGCACCACACCAAATAGAATAAACCACAAACCCCCAATGGGCTAATTATAGTAAAAAAATAAGCCATATATAGCAGAAAACAAGAAGAAACAAATGCCAATGATCTCAACTCTTGCTCCAGAACGTCACATGTCCATGGAATAATTAACCTATTCTATCTCCATACGTTCTCCTAAAGATCTGGTTTCCATGTCTTTCCAAAATACCAACAGTTCTAGCTTTCTAGGTCTTTGGGTTTAGAAAGCTAACTTGGATGGAGGCAGGCCTCAAGTGGGGAATCAAACGCCTAATTTCTTGCAGCCATTTTTTTAAAAACCTATACTTGCATTAAAATAAGCAAACTGGAAAATGGAAATGATTTGTTTCAGGTAAATGCCATGCAACACCTCTCTACAATGTGTTTAACACCACAAAGGCACTTCAGCTTGGATCAATGCAAAAGCTGTTAAATAACTTCAATAAATAAATTTTAAAAGGCAGACAGAGTGGTACAAATTGCCCTTTTTCAGCCTAAAATGATTATCTTTCAACTGTGTTCACTTAACAGCTTAACCAGGTCAGATTAACGCCTTGATATATATTTTTTTCTCCATGCAAGGGCTTGGTATGCATTAATCTTGATGAGGCTAGAAACAAACACATGTCCACACATGCAAACGTACACACACACACACAAGGTACGCATTTATTGAGAGAAAGAGGCTTAACCCCTTTTTCATTGGGTGATGTTAGGATGCATTTTGCACATCTGTAGTGGCAACCCAGAAAAAGGATTCATTCGGTAATCAGATAACATCGGTTACATGAATGATGCAGCCTTGTAACAGTTTTGGATACTGTGAGAATGTGAAACTGTCATGGAAGGATGTCTGGCTGTTAGAGAGACCAAGGAACTGTAAGATGATGGTTTCAATAAGTTCTGCTTTGGTCATCTAGCAAGGACCCCAACATCTGCTTCTGCAACAACAAACCAGAATAATAGAGTTGGAAGGGATCTCCAAGGTCCCTTCCAATTCTGTTGTCCTGTCCTGTTCTGGTTTGTCCATTTTAGAACATAGAATAATACGGTTGGAATAGCAATAGCAATAGCAGTTAGACTTATATACCGCTTCATAGGGCTTTCAGCCCTCTCTAAGCGGTTTACAGAGTCAGCATATCGCCCCCCCAGTCTGGGTCCTCATTTCCCCCACCTCGGAAGGATGGAAGGCTGAGTCAACCCTGAGCCGGTGAGATTAGATCCGCTGAACTGCAGATAACAGTCAGTTGAAGTGGCTTGCAGTACTGCCCCCTAACCACTGCGCCACCTCGGCTCAGGATGTCCAGGAAGGGTAGCAAGTT